GACTGGTCAGGTATTGGAGACTGGTCAATGTTGGAGACTGGTCAATGTTGGAGACTGGTCAATGTTGGAGACTGGTCAGGTGTTGGAGACTGGTCAATGTTGGAGACTGGTCAGGTGTTGGAGACTGGTCAATGTTGGAGACTGGTCAATGTTGGAGACTGGTCAGGTGTTGGAGACTGGTCAGGTGTTGGAGACTGGTCAGTTATTGGAGACTGGTCAGGTATTGGAGACTGGTCAATGTTGGAGACTGGTCAATGTTGGAGACTGGTCAATGTTGGAGACTGGTCAGGTGTTGGAGACTGGTCAATGTTGGAGACTGGTCAGGTATTGGAGACTGGTCAATGTTGGAGACTGGTCAATGTTGGAGACTGGTCAATGTTGGAGACTGGTCAGGTGTTGGAGACTGGTCAGGTGTTGGAGACAGGTCAATGTTGGAGACTGGTCAATGTTGGAGACTGGTCAATGTTGGAGACTGGTCAATGTTGGAGACTGGTCAATGTTGGAGACTGGTCAGGTGTTGGAGACTAGTCAATGTTGGAGACTGGTCAATGTTGGAGACTGGTCAATGTTGGAGACTGGTAAATGTTGGAGACTGGTCAGGTGTTGGAGACTGGTCAATGTTGGAGACTGGTCAGGTATTGGAGACTGGTCAATGTTGGAGACTGGTCAATGTTGGAGACTGGTCAGGTGTTGGAGACTGGTCAATGTTGGAGACTGGTCAGGTGTTGGAGACTGGTCAGGTGTTGGAGACTGGTCAATGTTGGAGACTGGTCAGGTATTGGAGACTGGTCAATGTTGGAGACTGGTCAATGTTGGAGACTGGTCAATGTTGGAGACTGGTCAATGTTGGAGACTGGTCAGGTGTTGGAGACTGGTCAGGTATTGGAGACAGGTCAGGTATTGGAGACTTGTCAGGTATTGGAGACTGGTCAATGTTGGAGACTGGTCAGGTATTGGAGACTGGTCAATGTTGGAGACTGGTCAATGTTGGAGACTGGTCAATGTTGGAGACTGGTCAGGTGTTGGAGACTGGTCAATGTTGGAGACTGGTCAGGTGTTGGAGACTGGTCAATGTTGAAGACTGGTCAATGTTGGAGACTGGTCAATGTTGGAGACTGGTCAGGTGTTGGAGACTGGTCAGGTGTTGGAGACGTCAGGTGTTGGAGACTGGTCAGTTATTGGAGACTGGTCACGTATTGGAGACTGGTCAATGTTGGAGACTGGTCAATGTTGGAGACTGGTCAATGTTGGAGACTGGTCAGGTGTTGGAGACTGGTCAATGTTGGAGACTGGTCAGGTATTGGAGACTGGTCAATGTTGGAGACTGGTCAATGTTGGAGACTGGTCAATGTTGGAGACTGGTCAGGTGTTGGAGACTGGTCAGGTGTTGGAGACAGGTCAATGTTGGAGACTGGTCAATGTTGGAGACTGGTCAATGTTGGAGACTGGTCAATGTTGGAGACTGGTCAATGTTGGAGACTGGTCAGGTGTTGGAGACTAGTCAATGTTGGAGACTGGTCAATGTTGGAGACTGGTCAATGTTGGAGACTGGTCAATGTTGGAGACTGGTCAGGTGTTGGAGACTGGTCAATGTTGGAGACTGGTCAGGTATTGGAGACTGGTCAATGTTGGAGACTGGTCAATGTTGGAGACTGGTCAATGTTGGAGACTGGTCAATGTTGGAGACTGGTCAGGTGTTGGAGACTGGTCAGGTGTTGGAGACTGGTCAATGTTGGAGACTGGTCAGGTATTGGAGACTGGTCAATGTTGGAGACTGGTCAATGTTGGAGACTGGTCAATGTTGGAGACTGGTCAATGTTGGAGACTGGTCAGGTGTTGGAGACTGGTCAGGTATTGGAGACAGGTCAGGTATTGGAGACTTGTCAGGTATTGGAGACTGGTCAATGTTGGAGACTGGTCAGGTATTGGAGACTGGTCAGGTATTGGAGACTGGTCAGTTATTGGAGACTGGTCAATGTTGGAGACTGGTCAGGTGTTGGAGACTGGTCAATGTTGGAGACTGGTCAATGTTGGAGACTGGTCAGGTGTTGGAGACTGGTCAATGTGGGAGACGTCAGGTGTTGGAGACTGGTCAGGTATTGGAGACTGGTCAGGTGTTGGAGACTGGTCAATGTTGGAGACTGGTCAGGTATTGGAGACTGGTCAATGTTGGAGACTGGTCAGGTGTTGGAGACTGGTCAATGTTGGAGACGTCAGGTGTTGGAGACTGGTCAGATATTGGAGACTGGGCAATGTTGGAGACTGGTCAGGTGTTGGAGACTGGTCAATGTTGGAGACTGGTCAGGTATTGGAGACTGGTCAATGTTGGAGACTGGTCAATGTTGGTGACTGGTCAATGTTGGAGACGTCAGGTGTTGGAGACTGGTCAGGTATTGGAGACTGGTCAATGTTGGAGACTGGTCAGGTGTTGGAGACTGGTCAATGTTGGAGACGTCAGATGTTGGAGACTGGTCAGTTATTGGTGACTGGTCAATGTAGGAGACTGGTCAGGTATTGGAGACTGGTCACGTATTGGAGACTGGTCAATGTTGGAGACTGGTCAGGTATTGGAGACTGGTCAATGTTGGAGACTGGTCAGGTATTGGAGACTGGTCAGGTATTGGAGACTGGTCAATGTTGGAGACTGGTCAGGTGTTGGAGACTGGTCAGGTATTGGAGACTGGTCAGGTATTGGAGACTGGTCAATGTTGGAGACTGGTCAATGTTGGAGACTGGTCAGGTGTTGGAGACTGGTCAATGTTGGAAAACTGGTCAATGTTGGAGACTGGTCAGGTGTTGGAGACTGGTCAATGTTGGAGACTGGTCAGGTGTTGGAGACTGGTCAGGTATTGGAGACTGGTCAATGTTGGAGACTGGTCAGGTGTTGGAGACTGGTCAATGTTGGAGACGTCAGGTGTTGGAGACTGGTCAATGTTGGAGACTGGTCAGGTGTTGGAGACTGGTCAGTTATTGGAGACTGGTCAGGTATTGGAGACTGGTCAATGTAGGAGACTGGTCAGGTATTGGAGACTGGTCAATGTTGGAGACTGGTCAGGTATTGGAGACTGGTCAGGTATTGGAGACTGGTCAATGTTGGAGACTGGTCAATGTTGGAGACTGGTCAGGTGTTGGAGACTGGTCAATGATGGAGACGTCAGGTGTTGGAGACTGGTCAATGTTGGAGACTGGTCAGGTGTTGGAGACTGGTCAGTTATTGGAGACTGGTCAGGTATTTGAGAATGGTCAGGTATTGGAGACTGGTCAGGTATTGGAGACTGGTCAATGTTGGAGACGTCAGGTGTTGGAGACGTCAGGTGTTGGAGACTGGTCAGGTGTTGGAGACTGGTCAATGTTGGAGACTGGTCAGGTATTGGAGACTGGTCAGGTATTGGAGACTGGTCAATGTTGGAGACGTCAGGTGTTGGAGACTGGTCAGGTGTTGGAGACTGGTCAATGTTGGAGACTGGTCAATGTTGGAGACTGGTCAATGTTGGAGACTGGTCAGGTGTTGGAGACTGGTCAATGTTGGAGATTGGTCAGGTGTTGGAGACTGGTCAGGCATTGGAGACTGGTCAATGTTGGAGACTGGTCAGGTATTGGAGACTGGTCAATGTTGGAGACTGGTCAGTTATTGGAGACTGGTCAATGTAGGAGACTGGTCAGGTATTGGAGACTGGTCAGGTATTGGAGACTGGTCAATGTTGGAGACTGGTCAGGTATTGGAGACTGGTCAATGTTGGAGACTGGTCAGGTATTGGAGACTGGTCAATGTTGGAGACTGGTCAGGTATTGGAGACTGGTCAGGTATTGGAGACTGGTCAATGTAGGAGACTGGTCAGTTATTGGAGACTGGTCAATGTTGGAGACTGGTCAGGTATTGGAGACTGGTCAGGTATTGGAGACTGGTCAGTTATTGGAGACTGGTCAGGTATTGGAGACTGGTCAATGTTGGAGACTGGTCAGGTATTGGAGACTGGTCAGGTATTGGAGACTGGTCAATGTTGGAGACTGGTCAGGTGTTGGAGACTGGTCAGGTATTGGAGACTGGTCAGGTATTGGAGACTGGTCAGGTATTGGAGACTGGTCAATGTTGGAGACTGGTCAGGTGTTGGAGACTGGTCAATGTTGGAGACTGGTCAGGTATTGGAGACTGGTCAATGTTGGAGACTGGTCAGGTGTTGGAGACTGGTCAATGTTGGAGACGTCAGGTGTTGGAGACTGGTCAGGTGTTGGAGACTGGTCAATGTTGGAGACTGGTCAGGTGTTGGAGACTGGTCAGGTATTGGAGACTGGTCAATGTTGGAGACTGGTCAGGTGTTGGAGACTGGTCACTGTTGGAGACGTCAGGTGTTGGAGACTGGTCAGTTATTGGAGACTGGTCAGGTATTGGAGACTGGTCAATGTAGGAGACTGGTCAGGTATTGGAGACTGGTCAATGTTGGAGACTGGTCAGGTATTGGAGACTGGTCAGTTATTGGAGACTGGTCAGGTATTGGAGACAGGTCAATGTTGGAGACTATTCAATGTTGGAGACTGGTCAGGTGTTGGAGACTGGTCAATGTTGGAGACGTCAGGTGTTGGAGACTGGTCAATGTTGGAGACTGGTCAGGTATTGGAGACTGGTCAGGTATTGGAGACTGGTCAATGTTGGAGACGTCAGGTGTTGGAGACTGGTCAGGTGTTGGAGACTGGTCAATGTTGGAGACTGGTCAGGTATTGGAGACTGGTCAATGTTGGAGACGTCAGGTGTTGGAGACTGGTCAGGTATTGGAGACTGGTCAATGTTGGAGACTGGTCAGGTATTGGAGACTGGTCAATGTTGGAGACGTCAGGTGTTGGAGACTGGTCAATGTTGGAGACTGGTCAGGTATTGGAGACTGGTCAATGTTGGAGACTGGTCAGGTGTTGGAGACTGGCCGGTGTTGGAGACTGGTCACTGTTGGAGACTGGTCAATGTTGATGACTTAGGTCTATCATAGGTGCAATAAGATCTTTACAAATTGTTGGCCAACTCTTTATTAATTTAGATAAAAAATTATTTTATGTACACATTAAGGTTAGTCTTATGGAATATACATGATGGCAGATTAAAAAGTAACTACTATAAAAAAATAGCACCATTGGAGTGTTTGAGGCTGAGCATCCACCATATTGCCACTGAGGGCAACCGAGTTCCTACATCATTGCCACAGAGGGCTCTGAGCTCTTATATTACTGCCATAGATGGCAGCTGAGCTCCTACAGTACTCACAGAACATACTCGCATCTATAAGTTTGGCACCATAATTTATTTATTCAATATCTAAATTATCATATTTTATTTTGAGTATGAATGCATATGGCTGATGATGACACTGTAAAAATACTTTGAAAAGTATTCACTTAGGTTTTAGGATAAACTGAGCCTATGAAATTATGTTTAACCTCGGTGACTAACGTTATTTGCAACAAAAACAACAACGACGACACAGAAAAGCACGAGGGCTTGGCAGTGATGGGCTTTGTTACAACCACAGTTTGTAAGGTCTTGATGAATGATATTTTGATATGTAGTCTTGGTGTACTGAGCTCTCTTTTTAATAGCTAATAAGCACATTATACAGTGTAATTTTATTTGGATAAATGTTTTTATAATCTTTAGTTTAATTAAAATTAATGACAAGCACACTTTGACAAGTGAAACTGAAAAATATTTATTTTAATATGAAGTACACAAATATAAGTTTGAGAGACGTTTCCATAGATCTATACATTTCCAAATTTTATCAGCTTATATTTTGTGGCATAGAAAAGCTGTTGACATAACAACACACGAAAAAGGAATTGTGTAGACAGATTTTATTAATATCAGCAAAGCATCATGATCTTTTGTCCATATAACCTCATGATGAGCCTGGCGCAGAGGTCATCTCAAGTGGAGAAATGGATGCTCAGGGACCTTTAGTATTACCCTGAGCAGCTGCTGACTGGTAGGCCAAGGCAGGGTTGCAGTATTCACAGTGACCTGGTGGTCCCTGAGGGCCAGGGGCTCCTCTTCCTCCCTGGGCCCCTGTCAGACCTGGGGAACCTCGCTCTCCTATCCTGCCTGGCAGACCCACTCCTGGGGGTCCAGGTGGACCTGTGGAAAGTAATTAGCAAGTAATTATCAAATGAAAGTATTAAGACAGAATCGCTATATGTAATTGTGTGTGTTACACAATAATCAAGATTTGTTTTCGTTGCCGCCAGCAATGACTATTTTATTGTAGCCTCATAGTCAACCTGTGAGCAGTAGTGCAAAAGGATTACAGAGATCACAATTTTTTTTTAAACAGACCCTAGGGGGGGGGATGTTTGACATTAGCTTTTACAACTTATTTACACACTGTATAATTAATTATAATGATAGCTAGTAATGAACTTCTTGCACTGCAACTACTGTGAATGAATTGCAACATATTATTGCATACTGGAGGCAAGAGTTCCTAAATATCATTTTAGATATTAATACAAGAGCAGAAAATTAAATGGGAAGTGATGTCAAAGGGGGCAGGTTCATCGAGGATTTAATCCAGGAAGAATTATTCAAAAGAACAATGAGAAATTATCATCTTGAAAATCAGAATAGTCTACTAGGAGTTAAGCAACAAATTAGTGGAACAAATCAGTTCTGACAGAAACATAAAACATTCAAACACAAAAAATGAATCTGCTCATGTGAGGCAGCTTGTATTAACGGTATGACTCGATATAATGCACGTATATGTATTATATATACTGTATAGTATATTAAACACCTTGTCTGTTGGAATATCTGTAATTTGAAGTAAGAAGATTGTATAGTAACATATAGACTTTTAAGTCCCGGTTTAAGTGGGACCGGTATTTAAAGTACTGTAACTCGATTCCAAGTAATACATATTCTGTGAAAATATTACTTCTACTTTAATAGTTATCTTGTAAAGTAACTTTAAGCTTGAGAAATAAAACTCTTTGTAGAAACACAAATTATCATTTTCCTGGTTGCATACTTTAACTTTGTTTGCCCCCCCCTAGGAGTGAGGAGCGTTCTTCTGTTCAAGGTAACCTGTAAGGATTTTAGAGTAGACTGCAGTAGCCTTTATATTTTCTATGCAGGTTAAGGATGGATTTCAATAGTTTGTACCCTGGGTATGGTTTAGGAACACGTGCCCCTTACAGCATACACAGTACTATAACCACTTCACCAGTGATTGTCTATAATGACTGGTCAGTCCTGCAGCTTACTAACTTAGCTCCATGACTAACCAATCCTCAGCAATTCTCATGGTGCAATTTGGACACAGTTTTCCATCAAATCCTGGTGTGTGCTCGGGTCTTGCTGAGTCTATACATGTGAAAGAAAACTTGAATGATCCCCTAGCCATAAATCAGTTAAGAAGTATGACTCGACCAGGATTCGAACCTGCATTACCAGGGCTTCGAACTTGAAAATGTTGAATGTTTTCCTGTTTCAACACATTATCAAGGGATACCTATTCC